GCTGCGCGTCCATAAAAGTCCATAAAGGTTATGAACAGGACCGGTGACAGAGGGCAGCCCTGTCGGAGTCCAACATGCACCGGGAACAGGTCCGACTTAATGCCGGCAATGCGAACCAGGCTCCTGCTCCGCTTGTACAGAGAACGGATGGCCCCTAATAAAGGGCCCCCGACTCCATACTCCTGGAGCACCCCCCACAGGGCAGCACGAGGGACACGGTCGAATGCCTTCTCCAAGTTCACAAAACACATGTGGACTGGTTGGGCAAACTCCCAAGAACCCTCAAGCACCCTGGTGAATCCCAGATATCACATCAAAAGCCATGAATTATGGAACGCTTTCAAAGCAATTGGAGGTGTTAAATGGTATCAATACAGTATACACAATAATTTAAAACGTATCAGTTATCAGTGGGTCTTGAGAAACAATTAGTTTAATGATGTGTTCAGTTCTTCTTCTGGTAGAAGCTTTCCAGGTGTGGGTCTCTATTATAGCTGTAAAAAGTCGCAGTTTATGTTGTGAAACCTCTCTTTTAATGATGTTGTCTTTCTGGATAAAATCTCAGGCCGTTTCACCAACTCCTACAAGCTCCCCTACAACTGGATTGGCACCGGACACGTGGTCTATGGTGGGGCCTTCTACTACAACCGGGCCTTCTCCCGGGACATCATTAAGTACGACCTGCGGCGGCGCCAAGTGGCTGCCTGGACTATGCTGCATGACGCAGTGTTTGAGGAGTCCTCGTCACCATGGGAATGGCGCAGCCACTCGCACGTTGACTTTGCCGTGGACGTTAGTGGGCTTTGGATCGTCTACCCGGCGCTGGACGAAGAGGGGTTCTTACAGGAGGTGGTCATCCTGAGTCAGCTGAACCCCATAGATCTCAGCACTCAAAGGGAGACCACCTGGAGGACTGGGCTTAGGAGGAACAACTTTGGGAACTGCTTTGTCATTTGCGGAGTTTTGTACGCCGTGGACAGCTACAATAAAAATGATGCCAACCTGGAATATGCCTTTGACACACACACAAACACTCAAATGATTCCTAGGATGCCCTTCATCAACAACTACACCTACACCACCCAGATCGACTATAACCCGAAGGAAGGGGTTCTATACGCATGGGACAACGGACACCAGGTCACATACAACATTACTTTTGCTTATGTAGATCCTTAAGAGCCTTTTTGTCTTTTTTGTTTTTTATATTTTTGAATGGATTGTAGATCAGTCCACAATGGCCACAGAAACGAGACAAACGAGGCCAAATGTACAGATATACTTAGTGTTTACATTGTTTATATTAAAGTTTACATTTTGTATAAATAGATTAACCTTCAATATTTGCATCATGTTTCACTGAGAACTGTCTTATGCCAAATGATTGAATTGCTTCATGCTTATAAAGAGAATTATAAAGAGAATGAAAATAATACATGCCTTTCACATTTTCTTTTAACCAATAAAAGTTTTAATGGTACTGTTTATCCACCTCCCGAATGAATGATTTCCACAACTATCTTTAGTTGCAGTAACAGCAGCAAGTCTTATTGAATATTAACCAGCTTTATGGATTCTTATACATAAATATCTCCTCACTGGTTTTTCTTAAGTAGCTCAAGCTAAGATTTAGATGGAAAGTATCACACAGCAGGTTTACCGAAAAACTGAAAACAGGGAAATTCTGACTTTTCCGTTTCACAAAGGGAGTTTACTCAACCTCTGTTTCAGTCTGTGTAGAAAGATTCTCCCCAGAACTAACCTGGTGGGGAGCAGTTTTTTTTTTTTCTTTTTCAGTAAACTCGGAGTGTCCTCTGTCTCCAATCTCCTTACAGTCAATCATGTTGTTTTATTTCCTGAATTAGTTAGATTTTTGTCGTAGTTTTGTGCATTAAAAAAAAAAATTATAATTTATATGTATATATATATATATATCGTTAACTAGGTCCGTTAGACATATTAGGTTTTAAAAACAAAGATTGCATGTCTGTTTTACGAGGATCTTCACAGAGAATTAAATATTTATAGGGAGAGGATTCTATAACTCAGCTGACTGGGCATGAGTATATTTGTTTTTGGTTTGTTCAATATGAGCGAGATGTGGATCTTTTCATTCTTATTTAGCTATATTTCCAGTACATATAGAACTACTGAAATTGTTTTCATATTATATACATAAATAGATTCATTATTCCGTGGGTGGAAAGGACTTACTTTAGGGTAAGGATTAGGATTCCCTCGATGATAACAACCTAATGAGCCTACTGGCAAAATCTGAAGCCATTCTATGAGGCTGATAGCTGCTTATAACGGCCATTTATTGGGATGATAACATCCGAGGTGCGGCTGCAAACATCCTTTTAGTATACTGTGTAAAAGAAGACTGAATCAACATGAGGACCATGAGATAATCCACAGGTTCTATATATTAGAAAAATTCCTTCATGACTTAATTTACACCTGCTGCCAGAATATTTCTCATTCATAGATACATTGATCTAATACCATTCAAGAAATAATTCCATAATATTATCGCCATCACAATAACTTTGGCAAGCCGTTTGATATGTAATAGTTTAACTGAATATGTATTCTTGATTTCTGAAAAAAACATTTTTTCTTTGTCTAAATGAGCATTTCAAAGCAAATGCAATTCTCCACATCTAGAATAAACATTCTGGATGTCTATAAATTAATTTCAGATCTCCATATTCCTAATATTACTGCTCAGAATTTGGATTATTTCAACCAGGAAAAAATGTTTTTCAGGTATCATAAACACATTTTCAGTCAAGCTGATAAATGTCGGGACAGCCAATTAAAATGTGTAAATTCCGTAAAAGTTTAAAAATCTATACTTCCAATCCTTAACAATCCAAACTTTTATGGAATGACTATGACCTGGATGACTGGGAATCTTCATCAGCATAAAATGTGTAAACAGTTCTAGATATATAAAACTTAATTCTTGTATATTTTTTAAAATAAATTTTTTGCTATAAAAATGTAATTTAGAAAATATATTATTACAGTTCCATCTATGACTGTTTTTATCAGGAAGAATCTTATTTTAGTGATCTACAAATGGAACAACACAGAGGAGAGTGTTTTAATAAATCTAAAAACAGCCTTCCATAGTCCACTTTATTTAAACTTACGCATTAAATTGAGCAACAATCATCTCCTTCGCCATCTTCCTCTCCTTTGCAGCTGTGGCACTGTTTCTCTCCCCTTTAAACACATTCTCCCTTTTTTTTTTTTTTATATTATTTCTGCATTAGAAACACTAGTTCCAATGGGGTGAAATAGGCACTTCCTGTTGCCCGTTGTCATGGTGACTTGTCAAATCGGTGCTCCACTGATAATGGCTTTTCATCCTTGTTGCGTACGTGCTAAACTCTGATTGGTTCTACTTGGAGTTGGTTGAACTTATTCATAGCAGTCATTGTGAAACGAGGTTCCCGACATTAGGCTAGATTAATTTAGAGTTGTGGATTTGTTAAACCTGCTTTGTTAAACTGACCCCTGTAAAGCTTGCAAAAGAAACCAACCCCACAGCATGATAGCTCCACAACATTGTCCTATTGTGTGCTAATGTTAACCAATCGCCTGCCCAGAGCACATTCCTTGCTTTTTGACAGACTGCAAATGCTAATTCTTCTGGTTTTATTTAGGGGCATCAGCTAAAAGGGGGCTAAATCCAAATACCCCACCAGTCAAAATTCCATTTGCACTATATGCACATTATTTTTTTGTTCATCTGTCAGATAAAACCCAAATAAAATACAATGGAGCTTGTGGATGGGTTGCTAACTGCTCAAGGGTTATGAATAATGTCACTATCTGTATTCTTTAAGGATTTTAGAACTAATTAATCCAAATTTCTAAGCAGAGCTGTGATAAAAAAAAACAAAAAACAAAGTTAGAACACACAAAAATAAGGAACTGTGTTTTTTTTTAGATGGCTCACTGTATTTCTGTTTGCACCATAATCTATACCAGAGCTCCCTTTTCTCCTAAAACACATTCTTCCTTCTGTAATAAATCCCAACAAAATTGACATAGGAACGATGCGTCTTTGTTCTTCTCAACAAAAGGTTATGGTTGCTTTAATTGTGGCTTGAAAGTGTTACCTGAAACAAATAACGAAGGCAAAGTTGAAGGAAATGGCAAAAGAATGTAGAAAATGAAGGCCTAAACCAGTAATTTAGGGTAAACTCTGAATGTAAACACAGACATTGTGGGAGAGGTGATTATGAATGCTTAAGCTTTTACAATAAAGGAAAAAATGTTAAGTAAAGCAGTGAAGGGGTTCCTGCAAGCAAACCAAGAGGTGCACACAGGTATACTTTAAGAAAATCCAGTGTTTATTTCAGTTTAAACACATGAAAGACAAAACTTCAGAAAAAGGTTTTTTCATATTGTTGGGCGAACAGAAAAAAATAAACGTTTGAGGGATTCTGTCTTAGAAACAACAACAACAAATGCAACATAAAACGAAACCCGACAAGGAAAACAAAGCATTTCATGATTTTTCAGCAAAAACAAACCATTTGCAAAAAGAAATACACTTTCTGCCTTATATGAGATATATAAACAAAAACTGACCGAAATTAACAAAAAAATTTTTGTTCACATCAATTCATTTAAAAGAAAGAAAATGTTTCTTTTAGAGAAGAAGGGAAAAACAACAACAAAACGAAAAATAATAAGGCATTTGAATTCAAAAGTCAATGCTCCATCATTCCTAATCTTTAAGTCTATAATATATATTGATGCTTTGTAGTTGGATAGATAAACACCACACAGAAATTCCATCAGGTTTACATTTTCATAAAAATAAAAAAAGAAGTAAGCCTGTAGAGGTCTTAAAATGTTTGTGATAGTGGCATTATGTCTATTTTTTCTTAAAAGACTGACAAAAATGTTACATTTTAACATTTCAAGTGTTATTTCTCTCCATCTTCCTACATCTTAAATAAAAAAATATACCATTGAGGACATTTCAGTTGGTATAAAAAAAAACAAAAAAACATGAGAAATAAAAGAATAAAATGACAATTTTAAGCAAACACATAAAACAGAAAGAGACACATGGAACCAGGATTATGTACTGTTACATAATATTTACCAATAAATATGTACAGTATTAATATCCGCTCATGATCAAGAGACAAAGACATAGTGCAAAGACATAGAAGCTAATTACTAGATTTACTCATAGAGAAAGTGCTGAAAATGGAGCACATGGAATATTTAAATTAAAGCCAAGTAGCTTAAAACCTAAAACTTCCTGAGTTTACTGAATGCTGTTAAAGAAAGTTTAGACAGAGGACATTTACACCTTCTAAGCACCATCACAAATATACCTTTACTGTCTTTAACGAATATTATTGGGTAAAAAGTAGACAGAGGTGTCTCACAGGGAGCTTTTAGAAGTTGTGTTATTATGACGGGGTGACTCAGAGTTCAACGCTCGGCTCCCTGCAGACTAACAATTACCCTGAGTGATGTGTGGGGCGGCAGGGGGAAGTCAGTGTTGCCACCCAAGCAGGCAGCCTCTCCTGTTCTATTCTAAGAGGATCCAATCCTGTAAAGGAGTCATGGGGAACAAACTGTATTTACAAAAAAAAGTTCTTGACTGAGGAATTGTCTTGGATTTCTTCTTAATGTGGTTTGCTGGGAAGTTAGAAAAAAGTGCTGAAGAGAAAAGGTTAAGACGAGCCCATGAGCACGCCGACAGGAGGCGCAGGCTTGCCATCGGTCGGAGCGCGCTGGTAAAACGTGTCCGTCTGGTTGACCCGCAGCAAAGGTGGGATGCTGGAGGACCTGATGTGGATGATCTTGGTGTCGGTGACCTCACAGTCGATCTGCATCATCACCTCAAACTCTTTGTCCTTGATGATGCTGTCTGTAATGGCAAGAAAAGAAACAGGATGTTTTTGAAGTCTTAAAACATGAATGCCACGCTAAAGTATCAAATGACGCATTTTACTATTTGATGAGGCAGAGGAGACCAAAATTCTTTACATAATTTAATAGACATCTCAAACAAAGGTTCATATTTTCATACAACCAGTCAATCTACGCTGCAAGGATTTCCGACCCGAAAAACAGAAGGACCCAAATTTTCCTCAGCTTTTCCAACTAACCAACACCTACCTAAATCCTCATCAATGGCACAAATCTTCTTTGACACACAGCAAGAAGAAGGTTCTGCCCAAACATATCCAGAAAAGGCAGTGAGAATATAACTTCTAATTTCTTACAAGAGTGGGAGTAACAACAAAATGTCTCCCTTCTCGCGGAGTATGTATGGTACACTTTAGGGTAGTGTTAAATAATTACAATGGAATATTCACATAGAGAAATCTGGAAAAAATACAAACTTCAGTTGGAATAAATTCATTTTGAGGAAGAGTTTATGAAATTCAATAAGGATTTAGTATCTGATTTATGCCTAATCAGTAA